TTCACGAATGAAAAAAAAATTGTATATATGAGGACTTATCTGTAACAATAGCGGATGTCGAGTTTTCACATTGTGAGAAAATCGCGTTTGAAGTTTTCGAAGCTTCTCCGTTTGCCGCCTGTAGAACCGAGAGGATTCTTATAAAGCTTTTATTGAATACCCTGCTAAAAATGACGAGTAGGCTATTCAGAATTCGCCAACTCACATGAGTAGAACTTCCTACTTACACGAGTAGAAATCCTACTCATATGAGAAGAAATTCTACTCATATCACTAGAATATTCTACTCATGAGAGTAGAAAAGTTCAACCCATATGAATCCAATTTTTTTCATTTTTCAGAAGTGCTGTTTCTGACCAAGAGACACCGACACAACATGTAAATTTGAAAAATGAAAACATTTTGTTCTTATGATTTTTTCACTTTGATTTTCTACTCATTTGTACTCACCATTTTTAGCAGGGTAGCAACCCTTCCTGTAAAAAACACGTTTTGCGATCTATGTAAGTGAAAAATTGAAGGAGTAACAGCGATTGGAAAAAAATGTGGCATCCGCTGTTTTTACTGAAAACTTTTTTATGCATGAAACAAAGTCTTCAGGAGGGTTAAGGCTAGTGAAACGATTGAAATGAACCAAAAGTAAGTCAACGCTGAGTCATTTAATACAATTGAGCAACAAACTAGACCGTTGCAACTTCTAGAACAAAAATAAGGAACAAATTATAAAATCAGTTAAAAAATCAACAATTCTGGCGAGACGTATAATTTAGAGTGTCAGCTATAGCCCATGGTCGGTGCGCGGACAGTTATCGCAAGTGGATTCGAATTTCTACCATATCCTGCCGCGCCGACGGGGGAGAACGGTGGATTCTCACATCCGCTGTTCTTAGAAATAACATGGTTTCCAGTTCATATCTCGCCGAAAAATTGTACTGGAAGTCTGAAACTTTGCACAGGCATTCTTGAGGGTTCTGAAATTCGAAAAAAGTGTTTGCCCTAAAAATGGCGGATGTCAGCGACCGCTGTTGTAAGTCCTCATATGCTAAAGTATGTCCCTGAATGTATGTGCGCTAATGAGTGTACGAGAAAATACATATGGTATGCTAAAGTATTATTTATTTTTATGTAGATATAGGGATACATGTACAATAGGGCTCACGTCATAATGCACTTAGTTCCGCTTGGCAGAAATACGTTTAATTTTGCTCGGACGAATGACAGTTTTTGATATCCTTTTGATAAACTCCTTTTTTTCATCAAAACAGGATGAATTTACTGATTTCAGCGGCAGAAAGTGGTTTTCTCAAAGGATAGTCATAGTCAAAAAGGTGTCGTTCATAATTTACGTAACGGTAAAAATTGAACATTTTGACTCCCCAATCCCCCCTAACACACCCGTAACGCAGGGTTGTACCTCCATAATACATTTTCCTACGCTCTGCTCGACCTCTTTCCCGTCATATTAAGGTTTTTCCCATGAATTTTGGGTGGAAATATGCCACCTTGGGTCACACGCAGGGTGTTTCATCAGGCCCACTCCCCTCCTCTAACTTTGGAACCGTTCAACATGCAAAAACTAAACTTTGGGAATGTTCCTATCTCAGACTGGACCATCTTCTAAGCGGTTCAAAATGTTGGCTCCTCCCTCAGAAGGTGGGGGAGCCCATGCACAACTTTTTTTTCAAATGGTAATTCCTACCTTGTGATACCTAGTGGGGAAGAACACTAAAAACTAAGAATTTTGGCGTAAACTGCAAATCGATATCTCATTTTTTGACCGGGTAATAATGTGTGTAAGATCAAATTTGACCTATTTTCAAGAAATCATAACCTCAGTTCGAATTATCACAGAAAAAAGCGGGATCACAATTCAAATATTAGTGGAAATTTAATTTGAGAGGAATCGATATTAACTTATTTGCAGGTCTAAATCAAGGCAACATTTAGGTCTTGAAAAATTCAAGTTGTCACAGCCGTGAGAAGTGAGAAATAACCCTTTCGAATTCCGTAAGTTACATGATTACAAAAATTCTGGCTCAAAGAAATTGATCCGTAATGAAAATCGTCAGGAACTTGAACGCACAAGTAGAGAGATCGCCGCGTCAACAAGAAGCGCCGTCCAGAAGGCGTTGATACCACTAATCGTACACCTAGGATACATTTCGATATACTTTGCTGTATATAGTGCAGAAGCATCGAATTGAAGGCGTTCTTAATGTCGTTTTGAGGGACTTGAACCGCAAATTCGGTCCGGGCCTGTAACCGCGAGTCAGATTCGACCGGAGCGACCGGAAATGAAGGGCTGACGGACCGAGATTCCACCGGAGAGTGGGGTATCGATCGGAAACGAAGGGCAACGTACCGGAAATCGATCGCAGCTTGCAGTATCGACCGGAAACGAGGGCTCAACGCAACGAAAGTCAACAAAACCAGTGCCGACCGGAAATGAAGGAGCAACGTACCCAAAGGTAGCCTCCAGGTAAATGAAATTTATCTTCGCTGGGATTTACTGGAGATTGTGCTTGTTATTCAATTTGTATCGCTTTCAAAAATTCTCTCCAAAATAAATTGATCAGTCATCAAAATCGGCGGGAACTTGATCGCACCAGTAGAGCGATCGCCGCGTCAACAAAAAGCGCCTTCAAGAAGGCGTTGATACCTCTAACCGTACACCTAGCATACATTTCTAAATGCTTTGCTGTATTTAGTGTAGAAGCATTGAATTGAAGGCGCTCGTAATGCCGTTTTAAGGGACTCGAACTGCGAGTCAGATTCGACCGGTGCAACCGGAAATGAAGGGCTGACGGACGGAAAGCCCACCGGAGAGTGTGGCAATGGTATACTTTATTAAGCTCCCGATTTCGCGCCATGGATAGTTGTACCAATGATCGATCTCTGTAATCGATACATCGATGTTGGGCACACTCATTTTCGATACCATCCTTCCTTTTTGCCTTAGAAGAGCGCCCGGACTCCGTGCGTCAGAAGAAACTTTTACGTGAAAACGTGAGGCCCTTCTCTAAGACCACGGAAAACCACGTGCGGTGTGCTAATTTACTTCTCCTCTTGTCCGGCTCTCTTTGTTCTGTAGACTTTATTTCCGTACGATGTAGCAATCTAGTCCTTTTCCCTTTTTCCTTGTGATTGTGCTGCATCTTGCCAATGTTAAGCGTGCCAGTAGGGCTCGCTTTTTGAAATCACTCGGATGTACCATAGTACAGCACACAGATCAACCAATGCTATTCAATGGGTCGTCCAAATACTTTTTTCCTCGCACCCGTTTCTTTGTCTTTGAACCATTACACTGTCAAGCCCTGATGGTCTTTTACCAAAAAATCTAATGAACTGCTAATTGGAAACCATTGAGAACATTTTTCTGTCAAAACCGTATTTTTCAATTTGACAGAAAACTCATAGGAGCTTTCTTACGCTCGGAGGACTCAACTCTAGAACCTTCTTTCCCGCCAAAACTCTATAGCCAATGAGCGTCTTGCACTGTAAGTGCAATCTGTGATGAGCCTCGTGACTCATTATACTATGTACTAACCATGGCCCCTGCCGAAATCCACTTAAACCACTACAGTTATCGCGCGATATAGCTTTGGGTGTCCGGTTTCGAGCAAGGCAATAAAAGACGGCTAGGCGATTAACCGATTAACCATTCACCGTGATGCCAGGATCCACCAAATTTTCTCAAAAATTGTTTTCCGTCTATTTAGCGAGTTTTTCTTTACTTTCCGTTAAAGTACAAATAAAAAGAGACCTCATTTTTACAAATCGGCCGAATAGGAGAGAAGTTACAGTTCGAAATCCAAAGAGATTAACTGAACGCGATTTCGATGCACGGCAGTTCGCCCAAATCACGGTCGTGCGCAAATGCCGCATATCAGCTTAATCTCAAGATAATTGGACGGAATCTTTAAAATTAATTTACATTCAACGTTCATGAATCAATATTTTCTCCCAAATTTAGCAAAAAGTACCAGCTGATGCAAGAAGCAAAGACGTGAAAATAAGAGGTATTTGTCCAACATTTCAGTTATTCGGCACGCTTTTCCAACATACTCATGTTGGATTTTTTCTCCTTGTTTTTTATTCTTTTTCATGTCATTTCCTTTGCACTGATGAAGACCAAAAAGTTGGTCGAAACGTTTGCGCGTCCACCATGTTAAGGTAAAACTGTAAATATGTTAACATCCTCTTGCACATTGTTTTTTTTATTAAGGTATGGCCTGAGTCGAAATCATTACATATATTTGTAAAGTCGGCTAATAGCTCAACACTTGTTTTCGCATTATGAGTAGCCGAAAACCGAAAAATCTTAACACGATTTTTTCTCCGATGACTGTATAGACTTTTGCACACGGTCTCTCCTCTTTTGAAATGCCTGCGTTGTGTTGTCTGAAATGTATTTTTTACACGAGAAACTAATGAGCACTGCTCGTTCGCAGTATTGTAAAATTTTCAAGAATACGCGGAACAAGTTTCGACGGAATTCAAGCGATTGCTCTCCGCAGGCTGGGTGAAATATTAGCGGAGATTATTAAGCGCTGTCATCGAAACGTGCTTCTCTTGAATCTGGCGTTTGAAATGCGTTAATTTGCGCACTTTTGTTCAGCCTACGGCAAAAAAAAGAAAAGGTGATAAAAGATAAAAGTTGGATACAAAGTGAGTGTTGAGAGTTAAGGTGTATTCACACGGCATGACAGGAGGTTAGGCGCCCCGCTCGCACCGCCCTTTGACGTGCACTTTGTCGAGTAGCTCGGCATACCGTGTGAACGCAACTTAAGTTCTTGGAACTGAAGATTTTTCGAAGTTGCACTTACTCTAATGGAGTGTGCTCCTTTTTTTCTTTCATGAAAAAATACACTTAACGCGTGGAGTGCGAAGAGTAATTTAGGGAAATGGTAAAGGTCAGGAAAAAGGAAAAAAATCACGCTACTAATAAGGTCACACTAAGAGTCAGAATAATGCACAGTGTAGTTAGTTCGATTGGTGAATTGGCGAAGAGCTCAAACGCTTTCATCTGCGTCTAGATTGCGTTCGTTTTACTGATAAAATGGGCCCTAAAAATATACTGATAGTGTTATTGGTTTCGTGTTTAGTCGCAGAGATAAAGGTTGGTGGTGCTCACCCAGGTTCAGGTTTATGATTCGAAGCGATCAAACAAAAATTGAATTTTTACGTAAAAAGATGAACACTGTTGAATATTTTTTTCATTTTTCAGACTTTTTCTCCAAAATAAATATAATATATATCATAAATTTACACATGTAAAATTTTGATCAATTCCGGATTGTCGATCGTGTAGATTAAACTATTCCGATTAACCTAATCTAACATAAAAATTAATATTCCAACAACACGGAAAAAAATGAAATTGCTGATTGACCGGTATTTTGGAGACTAGCGTTCTCTAGCCGCGTTCCTCTGTGATTTCTTAGGTTTCCAAGACTATTTAGCAGCCAAAATTATTACACATATGAAGTCCTAGTGAATAATATAAAAACGAGCTAAAAGCCAAACATAATTCAGTGTATTCAATCGAAAACACAGGAAAAAGCGGAAACAAGACTAAAATACAAAATATAAAGGCAGGACGTTTCGGTACCTTACGGCACCATTATCAACTGCTAAAAAAGAAATTAAAATAAAAACCAGCAAACGGCGTTACATAGTGAAATTGTTGTTACATAGTGGAATTGTTGCATATCGTAACTTGTTTGTTGTTTTTTCTGTCATCACTGCAGTCTCATTTACCAATTTCACTATGTAACGCCGTTAGCTGGTTTTTATTTTAATTTCTTTTTTATTCTTAATTCGTTTTTAGCAGTTGATATGGTGCCGTAAGGTACCGAAACGTCCTGCCTTTGTATTTTGTATTTTAGCCTTGTTTCCGCTTTTTCCTGTGTTTTCGATTGTCGTTTCCGTTTCGGGCTGCTTTTACATTCTCTTTGTTTTTCAGTGTATTCAACTACATGATGTTACACAACAGGCAAAAGATGAAAATACAGCTCAAAAACAGTTCTTTACAACGGCAGACGTTTCGACACAGAGGACTGGGGTATTCTCCAGGGCGACAATCAAAACCAATAAAAATATTGTGCATTTCAGATATTTGTTGCTCGTTTTTATATCATTCACTATGTCTTTAATAGCTTAGCCAAACAGATCTGATTGGGTGGTTAGTTAATTTACGACGATCAGCAACCAGGCTATTTACGCTGGGGACCAGGAAACCTTACATTTTTAAATTTAATTGCTTAAAGAGTTTTAAAATTTCGGTGACTACTATTGGATCATCTGAGCTCAGGCATTAAAATGTATGAGGTCATATACGTATATAAACAGCGGGTATAGAATATCCGCTATAGTTAAGGAAATGTCTTTTTGTAATCAGCAAACCTTTACAAGTGTTGAGACCAAGTTTCAGACTTCTGGCATAAATGTTCCATCAAAATTTGAATAAAAAACCGCGTTATACCTAAACACAGCGGATGACAGAACTTGCTATTCAACTACCTATTTCGCTGACGCTCATTAACATCCTTAAGGATCGTGTATATGATCACATAAAAATAGTAATAAACGTGAATCATTGGGAGATGGCACCCATTTAATTTTTTTTCTGTTTTAGACGGCTGATAATATCTTCCTTATTTATTATTCAGAAGTTACCAAATATTTATTTTTTTCCCCAAAAAATCATCTTTGCCCACGTAAAAAAAAGTACTCTGAGAAAACAGCGGATAAGGTCTCTTTAAAATCACTATATCTCGTTGACACCGGCTTCAAAAAATGTCGAAAATTCATTTTTTTTTTTTTTTAGAGGATTAGCTCTATTAAAAAATTCTTTGACTAGCTTCTATTTCATGCAGAGACATCGAAACACACAGCTTTGAAAACTTTGAACGCGCATTTCTCAAAACTTAAAAGCTTGACTTCCACTGATTATGCGGCTCATTTTCACGAGAGGGGACCAGAAGAAAACTGAAAGACCTTTGCTCTGGCCTAGTTTTCACATTGTTCACCTCTCCTTTTGAGGGAGTCTAAAGTAACTTCTACTGATGCTCAGGGCCTAAGAAGGCTGATCCAGAAAAAATATTCGATCCCGGATTTAGGTTCCCGGTAGAGCTTCTAGCAGATAGGTAACAAAAACAGAGCTGAGAAAAATGTCGGGTTGATCCGTTGTTTTATAGGGTTCGCAACCCTCTCACCCTTTTTAGACAAAAATCGTGATTTTTCGTGGATTTACTGTCGGACGATTTTAGTACATTTTGTGTGTTTGGAATAATATCGGCTCCTATGGCAGAATATGTAAAAGACAGAATACTGAAGTGGAGCTGTGCAAAATCTGGGTACGAAGGGATTGTTTTCAGGGGTGCGCACCCTCTGACACGCGAGAAACCGCCGGTTTTGCGCGATAGCCCACGAATTCAAGTCCGTTCCGAACTAAAAAGTATTTTCCGACGACCGTTTATTTCGCACGGAAATGAAGTACGCGTCCCCTAAAAATAATCCGAGCACGCCCGAGTTAGGCACAGCTCTAATCTGGTATTCTGTCAATGTGTCAAACACTCATGAGCCGTGGGCATGTGACAAGAGTGTTGTGGACAGGGCTCATGAGTTACAAATCGTCCCCGTCGACGATGCTGACGTCACTGGCGCTTTGTAATCCCAATTCGTTCCTACAGCCTCAACTAACAAGCACACTCCTTCTTTCCAATCCGTCTCTCATTTCTTGTAGTAGAAATACGTCCAACTTTAAGTTGACGATGACGATATATTTCAACAGTGAGGAACAATATCTCTGACTAGACTTTCCTTCTGTGATATTTTGAAAAGATACGCACACAGACATTTCAACACAAAAGTTTGATTAACACGGGAAGTGAAACACAAAGTTAACCCTAGCTTTCGGTTGACAATTTTAATAGAAAGTGCAGCGGACTGATTATTGAAATTGATAGACAAAGCTATAGACAAAGGAGACATAGGGGGTATGGAGCGATCCTATCGGTTGAAATGTGTGGTTCTTATAGACTAAGGGAGAAAATGATAGACTAACTGTCGGGTTTCTCGTGGGTTGCCGTTAGTTAGTCTATTTCCTTCTGCCTTTGTCCATTGTAACCACCAGCTTCCACCAATAGGTTCCCTCCATATAGCTTTTGTCATCTTTGTCTAAAGCTTTGTCTATCAATTTCAATAATCCGCCCGCTGGCTAGTTTTTTCGAAAAAAAATTATTAAAAACCGAGTGCTAAGTACTAACGTCGCAATCGGAGGAATGCATTGTCTTCTGCGCTAAATTTACCGCAAACCGTATCAAAATGAACACACAATTTATGTTCGTTCGTGTTTCACTTCCTATATTAACCAAAAGTAACAGGAGAACACAAATATTTTTATCCGTAGTGTTGGTTCGTTCTCCTTTCACAAAGTAAAATGAGACGGGAGATGTTGAAATCAGCGTAGACGAGAGAAGCGTAGTGGTTCATTCTGCAGGGACAGCGAAGAGAGCAGTAAGTGCAAAAAAGAGGTTGAAAGAAAACGGACTCAGAAGCGTGGGGGCGGAAAATTTTATTGAGAGTACCCTCCGTTCTTTGTCAAATTGCCAGTAAGCATCCGAGAGACTCTTAGAAATCATTTGCATGCTTAAAAATTGACCGACTTTATTTCAATTACAGTCACGGCAATGTTAGCGCCTGCAAGACTACGCGAATACTTCACGCATTGCGCGTGCTGCACGGTGCGCGCTGTTAGTGCCCGCAAGACTGCATGGATACTTCACGTATTGCGCGTATTTGCGCTGCCGAGATAGCGACGAAAGCAGTGAGTGCAAAAATGATGTTTTCAGAAACCGGCCTCAGAAGCGTCTTAGCAGAAAATTTTATTGAAAGAAGCCTCCGTTTCGTATCAAATTGCCAATCATCATCCGGAAAACTCCTAGAAATGGTTTGGATGATTAAAAATCGACCCATTTTATCTCAATTACTTAAAAAGGATATCATTCATTTTTTTTTTTTTTTTTTAGGCCAGTGTTAGGCAAGACAACCGCAAGCGCTATCTTTTGCGTGCTTTTGTGATTGCGTTTCGGGAACGCAACAAGCGCATTTTCGGGTTAGAAATTGGCAGAACAGGGCGGCATTTTACTTGAAAGAGCTATTTCCATTAGCTCTCCGGAGGAATAATGTCACTTACGGCTGTTTGGCCTGAAAGCACGTCATTCTTTGCGCACTTACGGCTTACTCAAAGGTCTCGTTTTCATACAATTTAAGATGCATTTTGGTGGGTTAGCTATCTCAACGATTTCATCTAAAAGAGATTAGACCATGGTGTCTAGAATTTTTGACCAGGCTTATTCCCTGATTTTTCCCTGATTTTCCCTGATTTACAGGAGCTCATTCCCTGATAAGAAACCGTACTTTTTTCCTACTTCCCCGAGATTTCCTGGGGGAAAAGAATATAACTCTCCAGAGTTCCATTTCTGAATATCGATTTTAATTCCGATAGCGTTCCGGATGTTTATAATATCGGGTGAATGAAAGCTTCTCCATTCTTTCAATGATTTGAAGTTTCAAATATGCCATTCAATGAGAAGTCAAAAATAGCGCTCGATCAGATTAGACCGCCAAATTTGAAAACGAAATGATCCTTAAGCGTTAGAAGTAGAGATTTCCGGTTTCTGGAACAGATTCCCTGATTTTTCCCAATATATATATATATAGTTAGTTAGTTATTATAATTTTGAGACATTCAGCGACTCAGGCTATTAACGTCTTTACAGGTAATTTTGAAAATAGGAGTATAAACGAAAATTTAGATTATATATATATATATGTCGCTTTTATAGCGCTCTTTGGCGCTGTGCGACGCCTAATCGCCACAAATTTTTCCCATTATTTGCCTGTAAATTTTCATTCCTTGATGAATCCCGGTTTTCCCCGGTTTTTCCCATTCTAGACACCATGGATCAGACGAATTTTGGAGGAAACTCGATTTCGAGAATTTAACACTCACTGCTCTCTTCGCTATCACGGCAGAATCGCTCTTTTTTCGCTAAGATTAAAACACTGTTGATGAACTGTCCCCGCTATTTGCTTGCAGGCCATGTTCCCGGGCGGTGGCGGTATAATGGCTGTGTGGGGCCCCGCCGAGCACGGCTTGCGTCGGTTGCGTTGGATAAGAGAAAACAGAAGGAGAATCCTGGCCATGGATAGATGCGTCGATTCGTGGTGCGTTGTGTTTGCGACCCCGAAGACGCGGCGGGAAAAGAAGAGGATCACCGATGAGGCTTGCCATCGGGCTTTCGAGGCCTTCAAAGAGATCTTCCACAGTCGGGAGCAAGGGATCTGCGGCAGGGCCTACGACGCCCAGTGCCGCCTCCACAATGATCAGTATCAGTGCACGGCTCGGCACGGCAACCAGGTCCTCTCCCTCCAGGAGTGCGTCTACAGCATCCCTTTGGAACAGCCCGTCCACCCCCCGAACCAGGACATCCTTGGATGAGGTGTCGAATCGTACCATTTCATCATACTATATTATCTGGGAACTTGTAATCTCTAGCGTTTAATCGATGTACCCTACGGGGCCGCTCAAGGTTTACGTAACGCTCTTTGTGGAGAGAAGGGGGGGGGGGTGCGCCAGCGTTACGGTTTGTTACAAGAAGGGAGGGGGTTGGGGGTCAATCCAGCATTATGTAACAAATCCGGGCCGTGGAGGGGGGTGAAACCTTGAAAAATGAATCCCCTTCCGAATGAATCTTTCGGCGCACAGCCCGACAAGTTTAATAATGTATTTTCACACCTTTGTTGGGGCCTTTCATTCGTGTTTTAGCGAAATATCTGCAGAAAACCCTCGAATTTTTTTCAAGCCGTCTTCTCGGAGTTTTCTTTATTTTTTTTTTAAAAAATTAGGGGGGTTAGGCCAGCGTTACGTAATTTAAAAAGGGGGTGTGAGGTTGCGTTACGTAACGCTCTTGGGGGCGGGGATGAACCAGCGTTACGGTGCATTACAAGAAGGAAGGGGGTCCACCTAGCATTACGTAACAAATCCGGGCGGGGGGAGGGGGGATGGAACCTGGAAAAAACCGCGTAAAAAATTGAGAATCCCGCCCTTCTCGAATGAATATTTTCGGCACGGAACCACACAAATCTACTAATGTATTTTCACACCTTTGTTGGGGTCTTTCAGTCGTCTTTCAGCGAAATATCTCCAGAAGACCCCCGAATTTTTTCAAGACGTCTTCTCGGCATTTTCTTCATTTTTTTTTATACAGGGGGGGTTAGGCCAGAGTTACGTATTCTAACTGGGGGTGTGGGGTTGTGCGTTACGGGTGCGTTACAAGGGGGAAGGGTCGACAAATCGAAAAAATCGCTTTACGTAATACTAGACCGGCCCCTAGGGATTCGAAACTTACTTCTTCTATAATATAAAATGATAAGCCGTAACCTCGACATATCTGCTTCAATCTCATCCTCCAACCTCTCACTGGGCGTCCTCTTTGAGTCTCCGCCTTATCCTAGAGCGGATCCAATCAAGGACCTTCTTTGGCAACCTACCTTCTGTCATTCTCTGCACTGAAAAAACGAGATTAGGGCTGGGCCCTAGAATGGGCCTGTTGCAAACTTTTGCTAGAGCAAAACTAAGAGTTGTTTCTTACAGATAATGCCTCAAAAATCACGATGAGCGCATCGGCAAAGTCTGAAATGCACTCATAACTTCACAATCTGTCTAAGAAATTTGCGGTTTTTTGAGCTTCCCGCTTCGAAAACGATACTACGGTACAGATGAACATTTTGTTAGAGGAGTCGTTCCATTGGTGGCAATACTCATCATGGCCGACGCCAGTCCGCCAAAACACGTGTGATGGGACGAGATAACATCTGAACAGGATTAAACCAGATAACAATCGGCATGTTTACGTTTATATTTTCCTCACCCGCCTTAATTGATCTTGAACTCTCCTCGAATTACTCGCGGAACTGCGCAAGCGTCG